CGTTAGGTTTTGGTGTTAAATTTGATTTGGCAAAATTCCAGCTCCGATAATGTTTTTAAATATATCGGGTCGAATTCCATGAGACAAAGTGCAGTACTGTACATTATTGTTTCGTACAATAATTCTACAGTACATGGAAAAGTGCATCCCCTTACTGTGCAGAGGGAGGACAATATCGTCACTTAAAGGACGTGTCAGAAGTACCGAGCAATGGGCTGGTTCTCTGACACACGGGCCCATCCGCGTGGCTTTTGGGCCGTTTCCAAACGGATCGAAATAAATCGGGTGAAAGGACAAACAGCGTTTCCTATGTCAGCGGTCGTCCTGCTGTATCGGTGCCACCTGATTGAGGTCGCTTGTGTTGCGATCGAAACGTCGTGATTTGTTTTATTTTATTTCTAACTACGTGACTTTACAGAAAGAACCAAAGAGTATAGCGTTTCACGTTAATGCGCGTGCAGACAAGGAGCGTATAGCGAGACGTTTGGCCAGCGTGCAATAGTGGGTCTAAACAACCATTGCTACAGTTTACAATAAATAATAATAACCATTGCTACAGTCTACATCATAGACTGCCAATACGCTCACCAGCTTAAAAACCAGGCTACAGTCTACGTTATAGACTGCCAGTACACTCACCGAGGTTAAGAACCAGGCTACAGTCTACATTATAGACTGCCAGTACACTCACTCCGAATAAGAACCAGGCGACAATCGACATCAGTGTTTTTTATTCTTTTAATTCACGTTATTTTTATTATTCTATCTACGTGACTTTACCGAAAGAACCAAAGAATATCTAAACAACCCCCAGAAGGCCTCTCATTGGGAGCTCCCTCTTGATGAGAGACCCTAACGCCAGCAGTGGCAATCTTTACCTTCGAAAGCAATCTTTACCATCGTGTTATTTAATAATTTTTCACCGGGTAACAGCAGTCGAGGCGTTCGGTCATGCCCCTACCTTCGCCGCGCCAGCTAAGGCCCATTGAGCATTAACAGATTATAAAAACATCGTGCCACAAAAAGCCTGCAGATAATAAATGAATAACTATTGACCCCTGACTAAATTATACACGCTCACTGACTTGGGCGATCAAGCACAAATAAGCGGATGGGTTCGTCTCCCCGGAAAGTTCAGTCTTTCGCTCTCTGTCCCTATCTCTCTCTCTCGACATCTCTCTTCGTTGCCAGCATGTTAACTCGTACTCTTAGTTCTTTCGGTAAAGTCACGTAGGTAAAAAATGAAATTAATAAAAATCACGACGTTTTGGAGGCAACACAAGTCTCCGTCATCAGGTGGGACCGTCACAGCCAGATTTGATGCAGCTTCCGAAACGTCGTGATTTTTATTTTTTATTTTTATGTTTTATTTTTATTAATTTGAATTTCATTTTTTTACCTACGTGACTTTACCGAAAGAACTAAGAGTATGAATCATTACAGTCACGAAAGCTTCAAATCTAGAATGTTAACTCATCTGTATCTACCCAGTGACAGAAGTTATCCGTGGTTTCCCCCCCCCCCCCCCCTGCGTCCAACGAACAGGAACCGCCCCTCATACTCGCATCAACGTTGTGTGCGAGCTCCCAGGTTTCGATGAATTACTCAAAAGGATTGTGCACTACTTGGGTCTGTGGCCTCAATATATTTAAATAGCCGTGCATTTGGATACGTCTCCCTTACTGGGTATAGGAATTCGCGGTCGTGCCGTGTAACTCCGACGTGTTTTCAGGTTGCGGCGACCCACGTATTCTGCGGCGATTAAGTCCGACGTTTCGCTGCACGTGCCAGCAGCTGCCTGCGGCGCCGCTCTGTAATCGAGGGACAAACGTGAGCCGCTCAGTTCGGTTCTCAGAGAAAGCTCCCAAGGACGTGGAGTGAAACGTCTGGGCCATCGCTAACTGAACAATGCGCGGCAGAAAACGCATCGGAGAGCCCAAGGTTTTTTTTTTGGTTGGCTTTCCAAACCCATCTCTTTGAAGTGCCGACATGGAGCGTTTGGGGGGGGGAGAGGTAGTAGTAGTGTAGTTTGTATCTTTACTGACTGGGTTCAATGCAGAAGAACCGACACAATGGCTGACTTGTGCACGCGTATTGAAAGGGGGTTGTATCGGATGACTTATACCCGCACGGTCTTTTCAAAATGTTTGAGAGCATGCATTTAAACATCCTGTTGAGTCTCAATTGTGCACGTCAACATTGTCTGGCTCGAAGTTTTTGCTGAGATTTATCGGGTTGCAGTAAAAATGCCTTTACGGATCAGAGATAATTGCCTGGTAACGATACAAAAATGTCAATAGCATTACACTGCTGATGCTGATCACGCAACATCTACGGTAATTGTCGACAACATAGCACCTATAATTGAATATGAACGACGCTAAGAACACCCTACGCCACAATGCGAATTGGAATCAAGAGGCCCTTTGTCAATGTCAATACCGCGGATTGAAGTTCATTCTCTTCCCCACGCCGTGTCGATTGCGGTCGTTGTTTGAGCATCCTTCATCAACGTTGGTCGGCGCGGATGAGCATTGGTGAGGGCCAGTTCAGATATCACTCCCCACTGATGTTTAGTCGGGGCCGAGAATCCCAATAGTATGGTGGCCGTGTGTATGATATCGTTCGAGGAGCACTGTTTCACCGCCCCACCGGATTGTTTATTTCACGAGGACCCATCATCGTAAAGAGAGCGTCTTTGCCTGCTGCATCTGGCAGCCTACCAGCATTGATTCAAGCAAGTCTGATTCTATACTCTTTGGTTTTTTAGATAAAGTCACGTAGGTAAAAAAGAAAATAAATTAAATCACGACGTTTAGGAAGCAACACAAGCTTCCGTCTTCAGGTGGAACCGTCACAGTAAAATTGCTGTATCACTTGATGCAGCAATTTTCGTGATTTCATTTATTTTCTTTTTTACCTACGTGACTTTACCGAAAAAAACAAAGAGTATGGACCCTTGCAGTCACGAAAACTTCAAATCTAGAAAAGTCTGATTCTGTTGACGAGACCATGCGTGTCGATCGAAACCGGTCCAGAGGGTCGCTGCTGAAATGGTGCACCACTCCCAGAAGACCGTGGCGCTTGGGGCCGATGGGATGTGCAAAATATTTTTTTTGTAAGTGCGGACGAGAAAACCCTCCGTTTTGTACTTGTTGCAAAAGTGAACCCGGTCTTCCTCTGCTTGAGTCCTCGCTCTCGCTCCGGCTTGCCACGCTCGCATCAACTCCCCATCCACGCGAGAACCGATGCACCGCAGCACAACTCTTGATTGCCAAACACGGGAGAGGTGAGGGCGCGTGGGAGACTCGGCCACTAGACGTTCCCAGTCTCTGGCCCGACACGGGGCTCATATGGGATGGCTGGCGCATGGACGTCGCCTCCATGGCTAGAGTCATCTTTGCCTCGACCTCATCATCCTCGGTGATCGCTAACCTCCTCCTCCTCCTCATCACTCCCCTGTCGCTCATACCATCGTTACTTTTCCACTGAACTTCATTCATTCGTTGATTCATCCAGTCGTGTCGAGGACTCGGTCCGCCAGACTCACTGGTTCGTATCATCCATGTCGTGTTCAACGGCCATAATGCAGTCACACACACCACTTCTAAAACTAAATTAGAAACTTTTTTTTTTACCAGGTAAGGCCCACTGAGCCATGTAGCTCTTTTTCAGAAGCGACCTGGGCACAAATTATACCTCAACAAAGTGGCTAATCACGTGGAAAGTTATAGCAGCCAAATACTCTAAACGCGTGATGTTGATTATAAATGTGGAAGGAAAACCCGGAGAAAAATTGAAGCGACCACGGAGAGAGAGACACGAAAATTCCAAATATACAGCAGCAGGCGTCAGGGTCGGGATTGAACCCACGACCTCCTGTACACCAGGCGAGGTAGTTAACATCTCGTCACCTGTTTCGCGTCTCTCACACTTTGGAATTCCATCCCGTAGTCCCCCCCCACCCCACCCCCAAGGTTTCTTGCAACTCTGCTCAATTCAATAAACGTATGGACTCTTCTCACACGTTATACATTCAAGTGTGATGTTGTTTGGTGGCCGCTTGTCGTTTGTGACATTAGCGGGGCCGTGCACAGCAACCGCGATTTAAACAAAACAACAACAACAAAAAACCCACAAATGTCGCCCCACGTTCTCCACCAGAGTGCACCGCGTGGAGATTCTGAGCAGCAGGGAAGGGGGCACGGGGGAGGGAAGCTGTGGGCAGGGGCAGGGAGGGGGGGGGGCAGCGGGGGAGGAGGAGGAGGATGGGGGTAGAGGGAGGGGGGTAGAGGGAGGGGGGGACCCCCAATTTGTCCCGTTCGCTGACCCTACAAGCCCGAGGATTGACAGTGTGTCAGAGCGGGCGGGGCTGCTGTGGGTTTTAAAAAAAAGTGGGGGGGTGAGGGGCGGAGGGAGGGTCCCAGGGCTGCATTTGGATGAGGAGGGGGTGGTCGAGAACCGGGATGAGAAGGAGGGTGGAGTGGTGGTGGGGGGGGGGGGGAGAATGTGTGACTGTGTGCGCGTGTGTGAGTGAGCGGTGGGTGTGTGTGTGGGTGCGTGTGTGCACGCAATGGCCTGGCTGGTTGGGTGGAGGGTCTCTGGTGGGTGGATTGACGGGGAGGCAGGGAGGGGGAGTTATAATCACATCTCTGGCTGCCAGGCGCTGTTCGCAGTGAACGGACACCGACTGCGCGTGACACGTGGTGGTGGTGGTGGTGGTGAGCGTGGTGGTGGTGAGGGTGGTGGTGGTGAGCGTGGTGGTGGTGAGCGTTGTGGTGGTGGTGAGCGTGGTGGTGGTGAGCGTGGTGGTGGTGAGCGTGGTGGTGGTGAGCGTGGTGGTGAGGGTGGTGGTGGTGGTGAGCGTGGTGGTGGTGGTGGTGAGCGTGGTGGTGGTGGTGAGGGTGGTGGTGGTGAGGGTGGTGGTGGTGGTGGTGGTGAGCGTGGTGGTGGTGAGGGTGGTGGTGGTGAGGGTGGTGGTGGTGAGGGTAGTGAGGGTGGTGGTGGTGGTGGTGGGCATGAGGAGGAGCACCGGGGGGTGAGCGCGTGGGAACTTTCGGATGAAGAAGCGACGCGGGGACTTTTATTATTCTTCTTCTTCTATCTTCTCCAGATTACCGAGCGAGAGCGATTACGCGCAACGCTTCTTTTACGCTGCGCCAGCCACACGCGAGAGCATCTTTGTTTTTTTACGATACCAAAACTAGAATCGCCAAGAAACCGCAGAATCCCAGTGAGCACGGACCGAGAGGATTCCTTCCTCTCTGCCGCTGCTGCTCAAGTCGGAAGTTTAACTCGAGTAAAGTTTTAACTCGGCTGGGAGTTTGTGCCGGCGTTGGCAGGAGGAGGAGGAGGAGGAGAGGAGGAGGAGGGGGAGGGTCAGCCGAGCCCCCAGGCAGGAGAGACACTTTTCCAGCGTTTGACTTTTGGAGACGCGCGCGGCACCGCGGGGAGCCTTGGAAGACGAACTGCGCTCGCGAACCGGGCAACAAACTTTGCGCCACAAGACAGCAAACCGCTTCGGACTACTGCAGAGCCCATCGGGAGGGGGACGACGTCAAGCCACGGGGCCCGAGGCGGTCCGCTCCAGGTAGGGAAGCCTTTAGGGGCGTTCTGGGACTTTTGCTCGCTTCGACTCCTCGCCCGGCACCCCCCTCTCCCCTGCGCGGGGGGTTCCATCTCTGCCTCCATGGTCCAGCGGGGTGAACCCTAATCCCGAGCGGAGGCGAGTCGACGACCACCGGCGACCAACACAGCAGCAGCAGGTCCCCGGCCCGTGTGCCCGCCGGCGGCTCACGCGGGAGAGTCGTAGGGAGGAGGAGGAGGGAGGAGATGGCGCAACATCGGACAGCCGGGCAACATCCGTCGCGGCGACTGCTGCCCTGCCTGCTGCTGCTGCTGCTCCTGCTGCAAGCGGCGCGTTGCGTGCGCGCCAGCGCGGAGTACTGCCACGGGTGGCTGGACCCAAGCGGGACCTGGCACGACGGCTTCCCGTGCCCCGAACGATTCGACACGGCCGAGGCGACCATCTGCTGCGGCTCGTGCTCGCTGCGCTACTGCTGCACGGCGCCAGAGGCGAGGCTGGACCAGGGGCAGTGCCGGAACGACCGCACGGAGCCGCCGGGGGGACAGGGCAAGGAGGGCGACGCGCCACCCGGAGCCTCTGCGCGTACGAGCCAGTGACACGCACGCACACACACGCACGCACACGCACGCGCACGCACACACACGTACACACACACGCACGCACACACACACGCGCACGCACACACACACGCACGCACACACACGCGCACGCACGCGCACACACACGCGCGCGCGCACGCACGCGCACACACGCGCGCACGCACGCGCACGCACGCGCGTACACACACGCGTACGAACACACACACACACGCGCGCACACATACACGCGCACACACACGTGTACACACACATGCACACACGCACGCACACACACGCGCACACGCAAAGACAAAGATCCCCCTATACGGCCTCAACAAACTCTTGGGGCAAGTGCTGTTAGCGAGCAACAATTAAGGCCGACACGGCACACGAGTGGGCGGGTGCACAGCACCACGCCCGGCCGCCTTTGTATCCCCAGTGCCGATGTTTACGCACCGCACCGGATACTCGTGTGAGGCTGGGTCGACTTAGGGCAGAAGCGGTTCAAATAATAGCCACGCTTACTGGCCGTGAGCCGGAATCGAACTCGGGTTTACGGGTTCGTAGTGTGCTGACTGCTGGACCACAGATCCAGACACACACGAGTGTGCACGGAGCTTTGCATGCCTACACTCACTCAAGACTACGACCTCGATACATACAACACCCGGGCAGGCCGCTCAGCACAGTTACATGGATGCATCAATCAAGCCGGTGTCATCCATTCTCTGAACAGATGCACACACACACACAAGTCACTCGCCGTACTTCACGACACATCTCGGATAATCGTGACATCTCAAGTCCTAGGAACGACATTGAGCGAGTTCATTGTGCTCATGGTTTGGTTCTTTAACATAATCAATGAGCGGTTAAAACTTCCGGGAAAAGTACCCTAACTTCTACGCATGCCAAATCTCGATACAACCGAGTTGGAACGCGCTCGTGTGACTCGGGGATTAGTTTAATTCTCCCGATGCATTCTTGGGTTGTAACCGTGTAATCTCCGGCAATGACATCCGACGTTTCGCTCCACGTGCCGGAATCTTCTTCACAATGGTTCAGAATTTAAGTTAGTATAAACAAAAGCTCTTCCTGGGCAGGTTGAATGGAAATGTCGGAATCCATGCCGAACAACACGCGCTTACCAATTGAAACCCCTCTACGCATTGGGGATTTAGTGATAAGGACCGGCGCTGTAATCGTGGCGAATGAGAAGTTTGATCAACTGAAATTAACTTGGGATAGGATGCGGGGGGGCCTATGGCTGGTGGAGTCGATGATGCCTTGTGAGCTTCACTGGAGCAGACGCCAAGTGAGTAATGAGACGAGTCTTGTACAGCCACAGTCCTTGCAAGGCTGGGTTTAAACTAGGGCTGAACGACTAATCTATTTCAAATCGAAATTTGAAACAATGCGATTAGCAAATCGCAAATGCTGCGATTTTTGGCGATTTGAAAAGTCCGATTACTTTCTTATTGGAATTGGGTTTTTTTCATTATTATAACTTTATTTATTTAGCTTAATAATTGTTATATGTTTGATTGTTCTATTTCAATTAATAATGACATGTTGGAAGCAATTAATATCTTTTATGTTCTCATCCTTGCATCAGAATATATAGAGCAGTTCATATTTTGATTGTATAATGTAGTAATGCTCCATCACATGTTTTAAATCTATGTCACAGTGAATATTGAACTGAAGCTTGGCTTTTAAAAAATGTAATCGCAAATCAAATCGCAATCGCAATATCTGTCATAAAAATCGCATGTTAGATATTTTCCCAAAATCGTTCAGCCCTAGTTTGAACCGTGCCTCGCCACGTCTCGGAGCCGGCAAGGTGTAAGCGGAGTGGGGACGTGGGGGCAGAGTTTGACTCTGGACCGGTTCAGACATCACTCGCTACGGCCGATGTTCGCTGTGGCCAGGAATCTCCACAATTGCCCTCTAACCAATTGGGAGTTGTGGGGGTGGAGTGTCCGATGGTACAAAATACCCAGGCAGGTGCTTAGTTTTGGTGGAGCTGATTGTAAGACCCCACCTCTTAGTGGCAAGCTCCAGGTTCAGCAGCAGCGCCTCCCGGCCACGTAGTTTTACCCGGGCCCACTCACCATCATGAATGTCCTTAATGATCGTGAGCAGACGGTCAGGGACTCTGAAAACACGAAGAAAAACCCAGAGCCCAGGCCTACTGATGGTATTGTAGGCCTTAACCAGGTCAATAAAGCAGAGAAGTAGGTCTTGTTGGAATTCCCTCTGCAGTAGCAGACGGAACAAACATATGGCATCTGTGCAGGACCGCCCTTTCCTGAAACCACATTGGGGCTCCGCAAGCCTCTCCTCAGCGTGCCTGGCAAGGCGATGTTGAATAATCCTTGCCAGGACCTTTCCTGGCACACTGAGGAGTGAGATGCCCCCGTAGTTGTTACAGTCTGTGCAGTCCCCCTTCTTAAAGAAGGGGGCCACCAGGGCATCCTTTCAATCCTGCGGAACCCATCCAGTGGTCCAGACTGTTATGATGTCATGTTGGGCAGTCTGTGCACAAACGTCACCCTCCCTCAGCATTTCACTTGGGAGATCATCTCTGCCCGGTGCCTTTCCTGGTCTCAGACTCCAGATCGGCTTCAGTACTTCCTCAACAGATAGCACCTCCACCAGCCACTCACAGGGGGTGACTTCTTTTCTAATATTTGAAGCACCGCAGCCTCAGCAGGGACATCCCCACTTTGTCCCACGATGTTTTCCAGGCTCAGGGATTTCCCCTCCCCCAGGACTTCACAGATAATGTTCAGCAAATCTGCAAACCTGTTCCGGGGGGTCGGATATTGGATCACCGTTCTTTCCCCTAATGATGGTAATAGATGTGGTGCTACAGGTAACTTTTTTGATAGAGTTAAAGAGCGATGTGTGATTGCGGGCCATTGAGGCAGATTCCATCTCCTCATCAACCCACGACCACCATCCATCCTTGCAGTGCCTCACGACTCTCAAAACCTCCGAGCAAAGGCTAAAGTAAGCCTCATTCTCTGATGTGGGATGCTGTAGATGGTGAGAGTGGGCATGTCGCTTTTTCTCAGCCAGCCTGAACACCTCCTCTGTCAGCGAGGGTCTCTGGGGAGGTCTGGACCATATACTCAAAGCAGCCATTGCAGCTGCATGAGCCATATTCCTAAACCTCGCTCATTTCCCCTCGACATCAAGAGGAGTAGGGGACGATGCTAACCCCAGCTGGAAGTGATGATGAAATTCTCGCTTGCAACTTTCATCAGCTAGCTGAGACCATGCCACTATGGGTTTGAATGGGGTCCTGGGTGTACACCCACCACCGGAGTGGAAGAATGGCAGGTGCATCTTACAGATGACAAGTCGATGGTCAGTGGGCAGATCAGCTCCATGGCAGGTCCTGGTGTCAAGGACATGGGCCCGCATCCGCTGTTCCATCACTATGTAGTCCAGCAGATGTTCGTGCTTGGACCCGGCATGCATCCATGATGTTGGGTGGATGCGCCGATGCCAGAACAACGTGTTGGTAATTACAAGTCCATGGGCTCCACAAAAATCTAGCAGTCTCCTGCCATTGTTATTGAGGTGATCTGGCCCATGTCTTCCAATCACTGCAGACCAGGTGCCAGCATCATGACTAACTCGGGCTTTGAAGTCACCCAACAAGATGACTATCCCGAGGGGCCACTTTAGCACCTGTGACAGGAGGTCATCGGCTTTGCCTGCATCCCTCCACGGATGTTCGTCTTTGGTAGGGGCATAAGTAACCACGGCCACCATTCCTCGCCTCTGATTGATGGGAAGGCAAGCTCAAAGTAGCCTGGGGCTTACAGCTTCCTACACCTCACCGCCACACTCCCACATCCCCTTCATTCTTTTGTCTCCTGCCCCGAGTAGAGGACTGTCCACCTCTCATGGTGGCAGGAGCCAGAGCCGGTCCACCAGACCTCCTGAATACCAGAGATCTGGGCAGTACCAGTCCAGCTCCCGACAGAGGAGTGGCAGCCTCTCCTCCACAGTGAGCATTCGAACATTCCACGTGGCCACCCATAGTGTTTTTTTTTTTGGAGTAGCCCCGAGGGTAAGCATTCAGTCTCCTGGCTCCGCCAAATGGGGTTTGACCCGGAGACGTCATAGACGCCTGTCCCCCCGGGGCCTCCGGCACAAGCTTAATTAAATGTTTCAATCGTGGTTTGGTGGTAATTTATGCAAGGTGGAGGGGTTACCAGCCCCTCACACCCGTCCAGAGACCCCATTTGGCCACTGTGGTGTTTCTAAATGCCATGAAGGGAATGACCAATCTAAATTGGCCCTCCCCCCATGGCACTGCCCACCACAGTGTTGCAGTCCGTCACCGACAAGGAGGTAGGGGGTTGTTTTTGCCGGACAACACACTACACACTTACTACTATACACACTACACAGTTACTACACACAGCTGCTTACACAAGCCGATCGTGAGACCGCACGCCAAAGCCAATCTCCACTGCCTGCCTGCGTCGCTTGTATGTATGTTGAACTTCTTTCCCACCGTACGTAGCCAACCGTGCTAATCGGAGGTGCGCTTCCTTCTCCACGCTCAAGCACTAGAGCAGCCGGCCACACGTGGCAACAACTTCCTATGCCGATAAATAGTGATGATAAGAATATTTCGGATTTATTTTTTTTTACTCAAAGGAGACGCATTCATGCAGTCAGCTAATTCGCGACACTTTCCACGCATCACGGATTCTGGGTCAACCTGAAACCCCTCCTTGTTGGGCATCACCACCCCACCACCACACCACCACTACCACCACAATTGCGTCCCTCTTCGTGCCTGGCCCTACACACGGTCAAGGCGTGTGCGTGTTTCGATGTCGCGGAACGAGCGTTCGAGTCGCCCCTCCTCAGTCGCCACTCAAGACAGATCCACCTTTTATTTTGAACCACGGTTACTTTTATGAATGCTATGGTTATAATTACGCTTGTTTGCTCAGGAAAGCCTCATCGAGTCTCATGACTCTGTTTTGCAGGGGAGTCCTGCCACCTTTTCGCAGTCATTCTAGGGGTGTCATTTTTCAAATTTGGATCACGACTCTGGCACACAGCGGCCTACTCTTGCGCACGACGTCACAAGGTCTTTAGCGTGTGCGTGTACATGGTATATGGAACTTCTTTCGCACCGTACGTAGCCGACCGTGCTTAATCGGAGATGTGGGGGGACGACAACAAACCGAGCGCTGTGAAGCGGCAGATGGCACGCGGTGACCCCGAATGAGTTACCTGTCCAGTGACTCAAAACGCCTAGCGGCCAGCAACAAACAGCGAATATAAAGTGAGAACGTAGATGAGCGTTACTACGTGTTTTTTTTTATTGAACAAAGTTACACACTCTTAAGAAGTCGGGGACACTTAAGAAGGGCCATTTCCCTCAAAGTGCGTCGAGAAAATATTTTTCCATTTTAGCGCAGTGTTATTGACTAATGTGAGGGGGTCGGTTTTTTTCTTCTTCTCTATAATAACTTGGCAATAGAGACTACGTGCTTTGTCGGTCTCTTACTGGTGTAATAGTAATATATTTTATAATAAACTCGGGGGTGTTTTTGCTATTGCGGAATTCGCATAAGGCCTCAAAGCGCTTTACATGAAGCTTAAGTTACGGAAAAAACCTGCAGTGACAAGAGGTCAGTTTGAAGACGCAGTTTAAAAAAAAAAGGTAACAGACTCAAGATTCCCTGACCGACCGAGGAAGGGAATTCCACACGATCGAGGCTTGCGAAATTCCCTTCGCAAAATCGACTGCTTGATTACGTTTCGGCATTATTCGCCACGCTGAAGGAGTCTTCCCCTGCTGCAAGGTTGGGGTTGCAGGTGTTACCTTCCGTCAGCAGCTGTGACTCGAACAAAACTCAGGGCGCGAGAGGAGCCGAGGGGAGTGGCGGTGCGGTAACCCACTGCACCACCGCTCACACGCGCACCCCCCGAAATTCCGCCGAAAAAAAAGTAATTGCGGTAAATCCGACTCCCATGCCGCCGACAAAACAAGAAGAGCGTGTGGAGCCTGGCTCCTGGCTCACGGTAATCCTCTTATCAACGAGTCCAATCAAATAAGCTCCATTTGTTAGTATTGCCGAGCCTAATCGAAAAAACGCGGGCTTTAAATCCTGACATTTGCGGAGAGCGCTTCTTTTCTGTCTTCGCGTAATTAATTTGACGCGTTGCTGGTGGTGGTGGCGATGGTGGTGGTGATAGTGGTGGTGGTGTGTGTGATTGCAGTGGGGGTAGGGCCTTAAGTGAAAGCACGTGTCGCCTCCTGAGCAAACCTTTGCTTGGTGGGCTTGGCGTAATTTATGTATCATTATTCATTTATAAACCACTCATTGATGACGCCCTATGTATGTACGAACTTCTTTCGCACCGTACGTAGCCAACCGTGATAATTGGAGGTGCGGAGGAAGGATATGAATCTAAACACAAAAAATCAGCTCTAAATAAATGAGTTTTCATTCTAGATTTAAAAGGGCATAACTCCGGTGGCTTCCTATGAACAGCACACCCAGAATGTGCTATGCATTACAGCCTGCGGGAAGCAGGTTGCTGTTGTGCAATTATCAGGTTGCTGTTGTTGTTGTGGGCTGCTCCGGGGCTTACACAACGTGCGTAGCAGATGACAGTGCTAGCAAAATCCATTGTTGTACTGCACTATGCTTCCACATGTATGCTCCCCGCCTCAAACCCCCGCACTGGCGAGCGTGGTGAAGTATGGCCAACTATCTTCTTGGTTCTTTCGGTAAAGTCACGTAGAAGGGAAATAATAAAATAATAAAAGTAAAACGTAATAAAATAATTCTCACGACGTTTCGGCTTGCGTTGTGGCCGAAACGTCGTGAGAATTATTTTATTATATTCTATTTTTTATTATTTTATAATTTCCCTTCTACGTGACTTTACCGAAAGAACAAAGAAGATGAATCCCTGCAGTCACGAAAGTTTTAAATCGAAATTTATGGCCAACTAGTTTAACACGTAGGAGGCTTTTGCGACCAATATCATGAGGTTTTTTTGGGGGGTTAGATCGTGTAAATATATAAATATGTCGTTAAAACCCACCACCACCGACACAGCCAACTAGTAAGGGTTGTCACGTGAACAGAACGTGCCAATTCGTCACTAGTACAGCACTAACCGGTGTGTTGGAGAGCCAAGTCACAGCATTATGGCCAAATAACCTCCACAACCCTTGAGGCGTGGGGAGGCCATCATCCAGCAATGGATTGACAAAGAGCTGCATCTGTACATATGCAACTAGTGAGGCAAATGTGAATATGTTATTTGAAAAAAATAAAATTGCTCATTGTATCCACAAATATATACCCCATTCTGCGTTCGCCAAAGGAAGAGAAAACAATCACGATGTGAATTCAGCAAACACGATGAAAATCAATTTAACACGTAGGAGGCTTTCGTGAGCAATATCATCCATAAGAGGTTTTTTTGGGTTATATTTACACGCTCTAACCCAAAAACAACCTCTATTACGGACGATGAAAATTATTCCACATTACAAATCAACAAATATTGAACCCCGCTCGTAAACTGTCGCAAATTAATTCACGACTTGGTGACCAGCTGATTTCCAGCGTGACCTCACAACCCCAAGGGGGATGCACGGGTGAGGCCCTCCATCCCATGAGCAGTGGCTCAACCAGGGCTCGGCAACCTGCGTTTCTGGAGCCGCACGCGCCTCTTTAAGGACCGCTTCGTGCTGTCATTTATTAAGGACCCACCATCTCGTATTCACACGCATTGAGGCTCTTCAAATATTGAGCTATTTTACCGAATTAGAAAAAAAATAACCCGAAAAACAAAGTTTTTCACTATAAATCCTTTATATGCGTGGCGGCTAGAGTCCTCTCGTCCTCTGGCTTGAGATGGCTGCCACCTATGGGTCAGATGATTGCTTGCCACCATTAAGCAATTTTTTTCCTAAAAAGTGTAAAATTTTGGAAAAAAAATTTCAAGAAAATTCATTGTCACGCACAACGAGTCTGTGTGCAAAATGTCAGCTCGATTGGATCACGGGAAGTGGGTAAAAAAACGACCCAAAGATTTGCACGGTCGTAAGCGCGCAAGCAAGCAAGCAAATAAACTTAATATAAAGGATTTAAAAAAGGTCAACTCCAATCTCCTCCTCCCGCCTCTGTCTCCACAGTGCCCATCTACGTGCCTTTCCTCATCGTCGGAGCCATCTTCGTGGCGTTCATCCTCGTGGGCTCCCTCATCGCCGTGTGCTGCTGCCGCTGCCTGCGCCCCAAGCGCCAGGCGGCGCAGAGCCGCCAGGCCGCCCAGTCGCGCCTCCTCGAGACGCTGCCCATGATACCCGGGGCAGCTCCGGGCTCCGTGGCCGGGGCAGCCGGCCACGGCGCCGGAGCTGGTTTTGCGAGAGCCCCCTCTCGCCAATCCAGCAGCGCCACCAGTTCCACGTCCAACGGCGCCCCCAACGCGCCCGGGATGACCGCCAACGCGCCCGCGGCGTCCTACAAGGCTCAAGGAGGCGGGCAGATGCCCGGGCAGCAGCAGCAGCATCATCAGCTGAACTTCAAGATGCCGGTCGGGCCAGGCAGAGCGCAAACCGGGGGACACATCGCCCCTGGTGGTGCCGCGATGATGCTCAAGGCTCCCGCTCTGTGCGCCTCCTCTGCGCAAGTGGCCGGGCGAGCTGGCCCCGTGGACACGGTGAACACTTACTACAGCTACCCCTACGGGTACCCGTTCCACGCGGCGCACCATCACCACCACCAGCAGCAGCAACAGCAGCAGCAGCAGCAATTTCATCATCACCAGCAGCAGCAGCAAGCGGCAGCGGCCGCGGGATTGTTCATGCGGCCCCAGCAGTACGTGATCTACTCGGTGCAGGGCGAGTACGGCCAGGCGCACGCGCAGGCGCACGCGCAGGCTCAGGCGCAAGCTCAGGCGCAAGCTCAGGCGCAGGCGTACGCCATGCACGGACACGCGCCGCACGGACACGCGCACTCCGCGAGCGAGGCCGGGATCCGGCCCGCTCTGGGAGCTCCAGCGCCGAGCGACGCAGCGCGGGTAGCGGCCCAGCAGCAGCAGCAGCTCGCGGCCACCGCGGCGGCGGCGGCGGCGACCCAGGCTCCGGCGCCGGGGACCGTTCCCGCGGCCGGAGAAGCCGCGCAGGGCCCCGGGGGGACGGCCAACGGCCCCGCGCCAGAGGCCAATGGCCTGGGTCAAGCGGCGGCGGCGGCGGCGGCGGCGGGCTCGGCGCCCCCGCGGCACAGCGGAGCGCCGAGCCAGGAAGAGGGCGGCGTGGCCCCGGCTCACATGTGCGTCTGAAGCGCGCGCGAGCGCACGTCCCCGCGGATGGCGGTGGGAGTTGTGGGGGGAAGACGGAGATTGACGACGCGGGTCTTCGACAGTCGCCGAGGTGAAGAGAATGAACGCCCAACCGGACGATGGACACGCCTCCCCAAGTGTGCTTCTGGCCCGCGAAGTGAACGTTGCCAGACTCCACGCCCGAAACGTGTGATTTGCGCAAGTCGCTCTGTCGTTTCATCGTCATCATCATCAGCAGTAGCAGCCATGGGCAATCCACTGCTGGATTATGGCCTCCCTACGTGGTCACCTCCTGTCACGATCCTGAGATGTAATTATAATGATAGTAATCCAGCTATAGTACCTGGCCGCACACGCGGTGATTCCTCCGTCCCATCATCTCCCGGTGAGATGCAGCTCTTAATTTCATGTCCAGTGTTTTTTTTGCGCATTCGCATCACGGGTTCAGAAGCGTGCCACGTGCACAGCATCGGAACGAGGTGATGTGGTCCATTGATGACGAGTCACGGGTGTGTGCGTGTTTCTTTTGTTCATGCGTGCCTCATCAGGTTCAAGTTAATTCTCACCATATCTAAAGGTGTGCGCCCACGCTCGGGCAATGGCTTGGATTCTGTCCGGATTTGTACCTGTAGGATTGTGTCGTTAAATCCGGGTCCACGTATCCATCCGTGCCTCATCGGTTCCACGAGGAATCGAAGCGGAAGTTTAAAGTGGCACACCAATTTAATGAATTCGGCAGTTTAGTGTTCTCCAAAAATGTTAGATTTCAGCAGCAACATTGTTACTGCTTCCTTCTCGAGTACTCCGTTTTCACCGTCACTCCATATGCATGTTATAAATTATAAGTCGGCGTACGTTTGCTGAACTTTATTACGAACGTAGCAAATATCTGCACGCCGGCTTTTTTTCTTAAACCACAAAAAGCGAGCGAGCGAGCGAGCGCGAGAGAAGATGTCTCTATTAAACCAAGCGAGTTGGGTCTGTCGGGCGACCACCAATCCGCGATAATTAGGCCGCATTAATACTCGCCGCGAGTATTGGTGCGGCTGGAGGCTGATATATTGCCATTTATTTTGTACTAAGTACATATATTACTGTACAGTCGTTTCGAGCAATTGTCTATTCTCGCCAACATTAAAAATCAGCTTACGCAGCACCAACAACAACCATTCCTTACAATTAAGATTATACAATTATACAGACGCGGAGGGGAGGGGAGGGGAGATTATAATGACAAGATCTTGCGCTCTTGTGTGGTTTTTTAAATAATAATTTTAAAAAAGCGGTCTCGTTTTGTCATTAGGCAATGCCTAATGTACACCGGGGGCACAAGGTGACATCAGTTTTATTTATATATATTTTAAAACGTTCACTATGTAATGCCCCTGCAATTCTGCATCGCCTTTACTCGCTGATACGCACACACATACACGCAGAGAATAGTTAATTGTGTTCACGTGCAGGGCCCCTGCATACTCATTAAACCGCTTGGGATTTACTCTTGAATAGCAAATGTAGAATTTAATGATATTTAAAGGCCTCTTCTGCCCCATTACAATGGCCCGTTATTGTTCACGTGAGTCTCTTAATGGTTTTAAATAGCGCTTACGTAATTGTGGCTGTCTCTAGCCCCTGACACTCGTGACTTGTTTTAGCCATTACCGATAAAGATGTGTTTTTTTTAAGAAACCCACAGAATTGTTTATCATAAATTAAGTGCTTATATGCTGTGCGCTGCGGGGCTTCATTTAAATCGGAGGTGTCTGGGGCTGAGCTCAGGAAAAAAAACATTTACTCCGCACCCGATATCACCGTTTGGGAGGTGCTGGAAAAATATTCCAAGAGAAATGAGGCCTTGGCCATGTGCATGGAGAATTGAAAAAAGAGCGAGGGCCATGTTTTGAAAATTAAACGCCAGAAAAAATGATCCAACATTACGTTTACTGTGGCCCCAGTGTACTGCCCCTATTGTCAACCGAGGGCCTCCGCATGTGGTTACAAGTCGTGGTTGGCTTAATTGACCATACTTCACCACGCTGGTCCAGTGCGAGTTGGTGGTCGCACATCCAAACGCGCTCGGCTCAACTCTGCTTAGCGGTGCCCACGATCCAACGACATTGGGAGCGCAATTCAGGTGATTTGGAGCGGCTTATTGCCATGAAAATGCGTTGTTTTTTAAATAAAAATCCATGAAATCGGTCAGTGTTGCTATAAACTTATGAACGCCACTAGCACGGTGCAATGTGCAACAACCTCGAGATACGGCAATCCAGAGCAGTACTTTGTAAAATTAACTGTACATTGATAACACACAAACCATGGACATATTAAACATTTGGGTGTGCATAAAGACGTGTAGCCTTCACAGTCTGTGGGGGCAAGTGCTGTTAGCGAGCGAATAGATCAATCTTTCTATTCGCTCCCGGCCGCCTTACACACACACCTTACACACACACACGCCTTATTCACACGCACACACGCCGGTTAATGCTGTGTTAATGGCTGTGACGAGTCACGTGTGTTTCACAGCCGATGCTACGTTTATGTCTGCACTACAATATTGTAAAAAGCTTTCGTAATTATTCATACGGTGCCAATGTTTCTGAACTGAAATCGTCATTACTTGTTACTGTACAACAACCATGTTTTTACAAAATAAACAGGGCTAAAATCTGCACTTCTCATTTCGTGTTTTGCCAAAACGTTATTTCTCAGGATTGTTTTTTTAATAGAGATACATTTATATTTTTGCACCCACCACGCTACTTCTTTCCTTGTTTACCAATTTACTTTAAATACAAATTAATTTCTTCCCCGCTGCACTCACCGATGCTTGTTAAACAAGTCCCAGGTGACAAGCTAAGCAATTAACACTTCGTTAATAGATCCGATTCAAATGAAGATCTCGCTGTGCGCGCGTGTTCCACGCGATTGCTTTGCATGTCACGTGGGACGTGTTTAACAATCATCAGGTGCGCGAAGCGTGATAAGGACTTAATTTGTATTGCGACCGGGAGTAAATTGGTCAACGCGGAAAGACAGGGCAGCTCAGTGGGTCGCGCCGACTCGAGTTTTAGAAACAGTCTTAACGCGTGCGATTAAGATGCATCTTAGAAAGGTTCCGTCTGTTCAAACTTCAAATCTTTCCGGATTATTATGAGTAGGATCTTCTTGACAGGTCTCGAGGAAGCAGCGAGGTAGTTTTGGGTTCAGAAAAAACTAATACCATTAAACATACACCACGGTTTTTATATCCTGAACATCCTGTACCCCACCCCATCATACATTTCAACTTATGTGACCCAGATGTTCTTGTATATAATACCAAACATAACACATGCAACACGTGGGGGGAGGGGGGGTGAACATATCCAAACGCATGATTTTTTACACACCGTCTGCAGCCGCAGTAGCCTTCATTATATTAAATCACTTGTCAAAAACACAATATCTATACCATGGGTGGAAAAACCCCGATTTTTACAGCGGCAGGCATCGAGTTTTTTCTTTAATACAATTAAACCCGATTTCGGGGAATTAAAACCTGGTTTAATGAATACGAAACTCTGATAGGCTTAGGCTGCTTCCTCGTCGGTGCTGCTGTCGTACTCGGGGGGCCGTCGGGCACGGGGTAGTCGTAGAATGCGGCGGGCAGGTTGGTCTTGATGAACACGAGCTTCTCCTCCACAATCGTGGGCGCCGCCAGTGAGTTCCTTCGCTTGGAATGGATGAAGCCCATCGTTGAGAAGTTGGCGAAGTGCGGTTCTGCAATTAGAACCAATTAAACCGGATTTCTCCCAATCTCAGATGATCGGGTTTAATATAAAAAGACAATTAAACCCGATTGTAAAAAACCCGACTGTGCCACCCTTGGTCTATACTCTTTGGTTCTTTCGGTAAAGTCACGTAGGTATAAAATGAAATAAGGTGGGACAGCGCCTGATGACAGACGCTTGTGTTACGCCCGAAACGCCGTGATTTATTTTATTTTCTACCTACGTGACTTTACCGAAAGAACCAACGAGTATAGATTCCTGCAGTCACGAAAGCTTCAAATCAACATCATGTCCACTATACGTTTGTTGTTCAAACCGACCCAGAGTAACATGCACATCGTTACGTTTTGCACCGGCGGGCAAACAACAACAAAAACCTATCCAGCGGCGTCGACACTTTAATTTTGAAAGTTGTTCTTTAATAAGACGACAACAATAAACAGCAAAACAAAAAACACAAATATACAGGAAACCCCTTGCAAACGGGCTCAAGAGATGAGCGCTGGCCATGCAACCGCCGTGACGCGCTTCAATAAATAGGAGTTGTGTGGAAGGTGAGGGGGGGGGGGTTCCTTGTGATGTGGAGCAAGCACCGGCCATTTACTCGCACCCACCCATGCCCGAGAGACGCGCACACACGGACGACGATGAGACGACGAGGACGAGACGCCGCCGCGAGATTGGGCACGAGAGAGCCATTCCGAGAATCATGCGGCACCTTCGGTGGACGTGCCACCGACACACAGCGGCGCGAACGAGCGGCTCAAGGCGCGGGCGACGGACAGAGCCATGCGTGCCAACTTGTAACGCGAACAGAGGACCCCCATGGTCTTCCTGCGGATCTGAAAAACCTGGTGGTTATAAGCCAGTGGATCGACTTCCGTTGGTGCGGCGCAGCACGGCGCATTCACGGTCGCACCTCCGCTTTGTGCAGTGCACTTTATAACTCAGTAGTTAACGGATTTGTTCGAACGTTTACTTCGTTTTGTCCACGTAAAGGAAGAGAAACACACAACTTGGTCATTTAAGACAAACTAGACCTTTGGAAATGCAAAAGTGATATTTTGCGTTTCTTTATATTCCCAAAGGACTCAGAAGAACATTCACAATACTGCAAACAACATTTTAGTCACAAGCCCACAGAATGCAGTGAGAATTGTAAAGTTTTTTTCATTAAGTAACTTAAACATATGCAAATATTTATAGAGAAAAAAAACGTAGTGAAAATCCATTTGTCTGCAATAACCTTGTTCACATGCACATTTTGACGTTACATTGCAGCGTCTACGTTTTCCATTTGGCCTGCCAGGATACTTTTGTTTGACTCTATGAGCCACAGGCATTTTACTTGCACATCACGAAGACTGAAACGAATCAAACTTTAGTACGAGAAATCTACAGTGAACTTGACAAACAAAAAGCATACACAACACAAATGTGAACACAAACTCACAAGAGCACGCACGCAAGCACCACCTACTCTCCTCGGGACAATTATCTGTACTTAAACTACATCACATTTCTGTTTTGACTTGTTTGGTCGTGTGGTTACGGTGAATGAACGGAGAGCATGGACAGAGTGCAGATGCTTCTAAAATGAGGCTGTTTAAGAAACACTCGCGCTCTGTAGAGTTTCTGGTTTTGGTCAAGAGGCACTTTCTTTCATTTAAACTTTCACAAAACGGTAGAGAGCTTCTCTCTGTGTTGACCAGCAGGGTTTTGCTTTGATTTCAAAAGCAATTTAGGAAAATCTCAACAACAACAGCAAAAGTGCTTGCCGACAAAAAAAAGCACACTCTTGTTATGTTATGAAAATATCACTGCAGGGGCTCGTTCATAAATACAATCGTCGTGTACCACCAAAACACACACACGTTAGTTTTGTATAAAGACCAAATTCATGGGGTTGGTGGTATGCAGGGGTGGGTGGGTAGCAGAGGGGGGGGGGGTGTAGTGGTTTTTAGTTTTAGAGGCACAGTGGAAGGAAAGTTTTGTTCCTTTTCATTTACTTCCACACCCCCAACCCCCCCCCCCCCCAGAAAAAAGCAGAGTTTTCTCGTGCACAAAAAGGAATATAATTGGTGTGGCCCCAGTGTCCTGAATGCTAACAGGGCAGCCTTTGAGGCCTCCCTTCATTCCAATGGCAGGAGCATGGCTGTTAATGGGTGGAATCAGAGGGCCCTTCACCTCTTCCCCCATCTTGATGACAACAAAGATGGAGCCACAATGCCCGAGAACCGCACCCACCCAGCCACATCGCGGTGCCCACAAAACGGGGTTCCTTTTTTTTTTCTTTCCCACAATGCCGCGCACAGTACTTGGATGCCTAATTATGATTGTGAATCTGGGGACGAAATAGCTGAAGGGAAAATATATGGATTTATGGTGATGACATTGCGATAAAATGGTCAAAGTTGCAGCGAGCTTCGTAGGAACGTGCCAGGTCAAGCAGCTCGTAAATAAATGTCTGATTAATACGGTTTCAGTTTTGCCTTCCACTGAATAAAAAAAATCAAATAGCTGGAAAAAGCATATGTAAATAAAAGGACAGCCAGACATAATAGACAGTGGTAACAAAAAAAAACCCGAGAGAGATGCAGGGGATAGGAGACGGCCAGGGTTGTGAGAGTGGGCACCCAAAAAAAATGAGAATTCGGGAGCCAGACAGAGATGTAAAGAAAGGAAGCCCCTTTTAAAAGACGATGCAGAAAAGGGCATTGCGACAATAGCAGGGAACACGCTGCCCACAAACCCCCACGTACCACCCCCTTTCTCTGCCTAACCCCCCCTCGCATCCCCCCACCGCCGATCCCCGTGTGAATCCCGGCTCCACAGGGGCCTCTTTGTCCCCCTGGCCGGCAATGCTCAGTCGCACAGCACGAGGGATGAACCAGCAAGGGAGGTGGGAGCGACGGGGCGGGCGGGCGGGCGGGCGCAGGAGGCGACTGCCGTTCTGTTTTGGTGGACGAGTGGCTTGAAGGACCCCCCCCCCTCGCACCGCCCGCTCAACGTCCCCATCTTCCCGCAACTCAAACCCAGCAAATGGAAGAGGGGGCGGCGGGGCGGGGTATAGAAACAGAAAGCGAAATAGACATGGAGAGAGGGAGACGCAGACGCAACACCCCTCACACCCATCGCCCCTTATACCCCCCATCATCCCAACCTCCCGCCCCCCAAACCCCTTCTCTCCGCTGTTCACGGCTAATTAGCGCAGCGGCACGGAGACAAAGCCCGCTGGGTCGTCTCCTCAGCAACAAGGTCGCCCATGGGGTTACAGGGTGAAGGTCAGGGGTGATTTCACACCAGCTGTCCCACTCCATCACCGGCGGGGGGTTGCGGTTTGTGGGTTTTCTCGTTTTAGTGACGAGAGTGGGAAAGGAGACGGCGGGTGCCGGTGGCCAAGGGGGTTGAGGGGGGTGGTGGCTGCCATCGCGGTGGAGGGAACGTGCGGAGGCCACGTTTTACAGATTTACAGGTGGCGGGGGGGGGGGGGTAGAGCGCGCAAGCAAGGTGGTGATTATTGATTGATGACGGTGATATGATGATTGATGATGACGGTGGTGATTAATGTTTTCGTTCAGCTGCTGTCACCAGTTTGGCTGTGATCCACGCATGCCTTTACTCGTCATAAAGCTCAAGCCAGCCACCCAAAATATGTACCTGTAACGTTAATGTAGCGCGTATAAACGTGAGTGTGTATATATACGTGTTGTGATGCACGTGGTCATGACGGACCACGGTCATCCCGCGGAATTCTGGGGTCAATAAAAGCCACACAGGGGTATGCGTGTAATCTCAATGCATTGTTATATCTAGGGAAAGTAAAATCTTTATAGGCCGCATGAGGAATTCGCGAAGAGAATCCATCCAAGAAAACAGAATACGTTCAACGCATGAGCAAAATAAAGTGGTCAAAATATTTAACAACAAACAAGCAAAGCAAAGTGGTGGGGTATTCAAAACCAGAAACCAGCCACCAGTGGTAAGCCTTTAAAAAATATTCAACATTTTGACATCCTGGCAAGTGACCCATTTCATTTCTGCTCCAGACATTGCCTTTCCTTCAGTAGTTAAATCCGCTGAGGTAAATAAAACACATCTAGTCACCAATAAAACTCAACCACAGTTTCGAGCACGTGCATAAAAATGTGGTTGGGTTTCAAGTTTTTTTGTTGCCGTGACGGCAGACAAAGCGTGAGAAAATAAAGTACTGCATCTTTTTAAACGAAACTTAAACGACATTCAACGCAACAAGTTGATGAAAAACAAAGTGCTTTCACACGTTAAATGTCAATCGCCTTCAATTAGCAATTAGGTAGCCACGCGAGTAGGGAGGGTGTCTTTCACAATGGGGTCACTATACACCGCGTGTGTGTGTGCGCCTGTGTGCATGTATATGGGGAGCGGGGTCGTGTGGTATTTATTAGCAGACCCAGGTGTTGGTCCACCCAGGACCAACACCTGGGCCTCCCCTGGGCCTGCCCTAGGTCGACTCAGCCTCAAATGAGTACCTGGTGCGGTGTGTAAACATCGCCACTAGGGAGACAAAGGCGGCCAGGCGTGGTGCTTGCCATCCACCCCCTTCTGTGGTGTGCTGGCCTTCATAGGTGCTCGCTAACAGCACTTGCCCTAACAGTCTGTTAAAGGCTTTATAGGGATATCGTTGTCTTTCTGTGTGTGTGTGTGCGCGTACAAACAAAATAACACCCAAGCAAAACAAGTGATGGGAAAGGTGTCAAACAATAAATAGTGTGAGATGCACAATGGCAAGAGGGAAGCTCAGCTCAGCTCAGCGGTTCTGCTTCACGGTGTAACGAAGTGCTTGGCAGGCAGTCGTAAGGGGGGCGGGGGGCACGAAGGCAGTCAAACACACGGCGACGCAGCCCCCCTCCGCGAGTTTAGGCACCACCAGGTTTCTGCTTGGTCGTGTCGTAGGCTCGCACCACTTCCTTTTGTGAAACGACACCGTTTTCTTCTTGCGAGAAGGCAAATCCGCCTGTTGGGCATACGCAGAGACAAAACACAAAAACACCCCCCCCCCAATTATCCCTGGAATTGACAGATGGTATCAAGAACAATTATCAGTACCTTTCTTTGGACTAACCAAGCCTACAGCTGGTACCTGCTGCAGCAAGAGAACCATCAGGCTTGGTTAGGCCAGAGGACCAGCAACCTGCAGCTCCGAAACGAAATGCGGCTCTTTAAAAGGACCTATTCATGCCGTTATTATAGATGACCACCTGTCTCATATTCACATGCATTGCGGCTCTTGAAATATTGAGATTTGTTAAACGAATTCTAACAAAAATCCCTCTGCTTGTTATTTTGATTGCCGACTCCTCGATGAGACAAAGGCAGCCGTGCCACCTGTTGCGCCCATCACGATTCCTACAAGCCAGATTCAGATGTTGCCTCGTGTCACCAATTCAACCCAGATTTTGGCAATTGTACTGCAGTGTGCTAAACGTCACAACGTGTGCATGCACACACACACACAAGACTAAGACCACCCATATAGCCTTAACAAACTGTTGGGCAAAGCAAGTGCTGTTAGCGAGCGCCTATCAAGGTCGGAATCGTGGCACAGCACACGCTAACCACGCACATGATCGCATCGGTGTAAAGTACAGTCAATGTTAAAGCACCGCACGCCAAATAACTGCAGCACGCGCGCGTACAGCTGAAACACCCAGCCTCAGACTCACGGAGGAGACTCTGGTCCATGGACTCGGAGCGACGCAACCCTGCCGTGTTGGTCCTCCGGAACACGTTCTTCAGGAGGCGCGCTCGCTCCGTCAAGCTGTCGGCGTACAGCAGCAGGCGGAAGAGGTGACAAAAACGTGACGACGACGGTCAAGAGACGATTTCCGTCATCGTAACAACTGCCCTCAAAATTGACCGCGGCACTCGAGTTTCCGTAAGCAAAGCGTCATGGCCCAAGGAAGATAATTTGCGATGGGTTAAGCGGTGGCAGGCAGCCTATGAGCAAATCACACGGCGCTATAGAGCGCTTTTTCAATTGTGACCAGCGACCTGGCCACAACTGATAACTCGACGAAGTGGCTTATGACGTGGAAATTTCTAGCAGCCAAATACTCTGAACGCATGTTTCTAAATGTGAAAACCTGAGGACCCGGAGAAAATTCCAAGCGACCACGTGGAGAAAGACACTCAAACTCCAAACATAAAAAAGGCATTTTCAGGGTCGGGATCGGACCCACAACCTCCCGCATACCGGGTAAGGGAGTCAACATCCCGGCACCGCAGCACACTCGATCTCAGAAGCCAAACCGGGGGAGAGCGTGGACAGCACCATGCCAGACGACCGCCACGCACAGCGGCTGCCACAGGGCCGCAGAGGCGGGCGGGGGAGGGGGGGGGCTATGTGTTCGGCAGTAGAGGGCAGTGCAGAAAAATCTATTATTTTCCTGTACTTCAATGAATGCTTCCACATCTATAATCACCACCTTCACCGAACCGCACTGATTAGCGTGCAGTGGATTGGCACAGGAGCTGTGTGCGTGTACACATAGCGGTTGGAAACCAACAGTGGTCATGTTTGGATAACCGTGTGGGATTTCCACCGGCGGTTTACGGCTCCACCCATAAGAGATGCGCACCGCACTATTCCGCCTGTTTAGACAGGGAGACGCATGGACGTCTCTTTAAAGCGGTAATTATTGGAAAGACGGGGGATTACGTCTTTAAGTCAGGCATGGAGTGGACGCCGCACCTCTTTCCACGCTGGTGTTCCATGAGAACCTTCTCGGGATCCTGGCAGGCAGCCTCTTGCTCCTGGACCTCATCCATTAAGCTCTTGAAGCAGGTTCGTTTGATCCTGGTCAGTAAATACAGGGCATGGACGCGCAAACAAACACACGTAGACACACACGCGTACGCTAAGATGCTAGGATCCGTGATGAGCGTGCATTTGCATGCACACCAAAGATAAAGATCCCACGTGTAGCCTTATCAGACCGAAGGGGCAAGTGCTGTAAGCGAGCACCTATGAAGGCCGGCACTGCACACGAGAAAATTGGTGTCCAGCACCACAACCGGCCGCCTTTGTCTGCCCAGTGCCGATGTTCACACACCACACCAGGTACTCATTTGAGCAGACCTCGATGAGGGCCAGGATACGTTTCACATAATCGTCACTGGTTTTAGCCATGACAATGTATTGAACTCGGGTGGCCAGGTTCGTCGCGCAGCACTCTAACCACTGTGCCACGCCTCCCCTTCACGCACACACCTATAGCACCGTCACCTGCAGACAGAATAGACAAACGACAAGCCAACGCGTGGGCGTACGTCAGCGCGTGCGAGAACGTTACAGAAATGTGCAAAGAACTAAATCAAATATATCTTTGCTGGGTGTCAAAATAAATTAAACAAAACTTACACTAAAGCAGCGCTGCGAGTAAAAAAAAAAGTTCAAGGACGAAGAGAAAAAAAGGAACGCAGTTCACAGGGAGAGAGCGAAGAGAAGGGCGGGGAACGAGGTAGGAGATGAAAACGTCGTGAATTCATACATAAAAGTGGGATATTAGGAGGAATGGAGAGGGCTCTGGGAGGCGCGGATCAAAAGGAACGGCTTTGTGGGGGGGTAGTGAGGATGAGGCGATCCTCTTTCTCAAGGGTCGGGGTGAGATCAAGAGGCAGGTGGTCTGCAGCATGGCACATTCCCACTCGGTAAATGCGGTGCACCAGGGCAAATATCATGCGTGCGAGACCATGTACTTAGTTTGCGTGTAAGTGCGTGTGCATGAGGTTGGAGCGGTGGTGTGGCGGTTAGCGCGCTGCGCTATGAACCTGGCGACCCGGGTTCGATTCCCGCTCACGGCCAACACCAGTGACGATAATCTGAACCGGTCCCGGGCCTCCCCTAGGTCGACTCAGCCTCAAATGAGTACCTGGTGCTGTGTATAAACATCGCCGCTAGGGAGACAAAGGCGGTCGGGCGTGGTGTTGGCCACCCACCCCCTCGTGTACCGTTGCGGCCTTCATAGGTGCTCGCTAACAGCACTTGCCCCTAGCCTGTTAAGGCTATACGTGGGATCTTTGTTGTACATGAGGTGCACATGTATAGCACTTTGTTAATTCGCTGCTGGATGAGGGGTTTTCCCACGTCGTGCGGGTCGCGGGGGGGGGGTATTGGTTGGTACTTCACCAAGCCCGTTCAATGTTGTTGGTGAAATGTGGGAGCGCAAATGTGGGAGCACGGTGCAATGGATTTTGATGCATTGCCCCCTCTGCTGGCAACGTAGCCCCGCAGCAACCCTCGATACCTGTTGTACGCACCGTGGTTTGCCCGTTCTAACACTTTGCAGACTCAACCCCAATTAGTTTCCGAGACCTGACGAGGGCAAATTCTGGGCGATTTGGGTCGTGGGCGTACGTACAAGCGAGGCTATGATATGCACGGACACTCAAGGCAGGAAGACAGTTCTGTTTGAGAATAGGTTTTCAACTTTTTTTTCTGGCAACAAAACAGCTGTGTTGAGATGTTAAAACACCAAATTGAAACCTTTTACAAGGAATCATGTCTGCATTTACCGCAATACTTGTGGTCAGAATGCAAACAAAAAACACTGATAATATATGCATTGTCCTTGAAACTGATTGATCCACACCAGAGACAGCTTTCTTTTGAGCCTCGTTTCAAAACGGTGTTAGACCAGAGAACGCCAAAAGGCGCACAGTCCTGTTTTGCAAGTAGTTGAGGCTTTTAACGTTGGACGTTGCCACACTCATCTGCACGCATACGCAGGTGTAGGGTCACAGGTGAAAAGCGATAACTGTGACAAAGTCAGCTCAAAACTGACATTAGCCATAATAACATCGATAACTAATCTCTATTAGCAGTGGCGATAGCAATCTAATAACGAGACTGACATGTATATTGTACTTTACATGGATAGAGTAAATTATGTAATAACATTTACTTTCATTAATGAATACAAGTTGGGTACAATAAGGCTTTCTGGTTTCACCTATTTTCGTTTAATTTCAGTTATATTATCATTAGATAAAAAAATATGTTCGCGTAAAACTATACAGTGAAAACACACTCTAATAATGAGATTTGCCGACGGCTTTACTTGCGAATTATTCGAGGTTTCACATCGTGCAACGAAAACAACGAGAAAAGGGAGGTAATAAAACGGTTAAAATAAACACTCGGCGGATCAAATTCAAATCCGGACCCCCCCCCCCCCCGCCGCCCACCATCCCCCCACCAAAAAAATCATTTCGGCTTTTAGGATTTCCTCTCAAATGGTAACAGCTTGACGACGAAGTGGGGTGTGGGGGGAGAGGGGAGCACTTTGGAGGGAGAAGCCACAAGCCCCCCCCCCTCCCCAACCGGGTCTGTGAGCGCATCTGAGCAGTCACGGTGGATAATTGCCTGGCGCTGGGCGAAAGCGTGTGGGGGCTTGCCAGCCCTCGCGGGGATGGCATCGACCCTCGTGGGTGGTGGCGGTGGTGGTGGAGGTGGGAGAGAGAGAGAGGGTGGCGGGGGAACGGGTGGGCAACTCTGAGCCCCCCCCCCCCCAAGAGCAGCAGTCGTCACGCGGTGCCCCTAATTGCTGTCGTCCCCCCGGTAGCGAGCGCAGTGGGGCCCCTCCGTGTGAATTTATAACGAGATTTATTTAAGCGTCCTTCAACCCCTCGAAAAAGCCTCGCTCGAGGCCTCGAGACTCGGCACTGAAGAGGATCCTGCGATGCGATGTTCGGCCAATTCCTTACAGAGGTGCATGCGAAGACCAATGTAAACAACATGCGATGCTAGACTTTCCAATTAGGCAGCACAAGGGTAATCCATTTATAGATACCCCATTCAAATAATGGGTAGATATGAGAGAATTCCAAAGCGCCACCAATCGCTATATACATTCAATCTTTTAGCGCACTCCTGTGCGAGTTACGGAGCAATCGCTTTCACAGAATATCACAAAAATTCCCAGGTCATTAAAAATCAGTGGCGTATCAATTAATTAATCAGCCCATACGTGTAAAATGTGACAAAGAAAAACCTACAGTGAATGAAAATCGAAATAACGTATCAATATCTCGTGGGCAAAAAAAGTCCTACCGGTAAAATGTCAAACTTTCTCTTTTCTTCCCAGCCATAAAAAAGATTGCTCTTCCAACTACTTTCACTATTGGCACACACAGCCAGTCCAGCAGTAAGATATACATTCACTGTATTGAGGTAAACACTAAACCGAGCCACAGTGTGCGTGCGTGTGTGCGTGCGCTCAGCTGCGAGGTATAAACAGCCCGTAAATGAACTACTCGCCTTCAGAATAGTAAGTGGGTATGGTCAGAATGCGTCGCTCGCAGCAGGAGTTACGGCTTGCGGTTGAGACCAGCGGCAGAGTCGCAACCCAACGAGTGAAACAACGCCACAAAAAGAGGACGTCCGCATGAAGCGATGGGATCGGCTCGGGCGAAGTCGCTGGGTGAATTGCGGCATCGCGAGACTGTGAGGGATGGTGGTGGCAAAGAGCTTTATAGCTCATCGGATTCCTCCAGTATCAATAAATATCCTGATTCTGGCTTGGGAAAGCCTTCATCCAGCAGCGGGTCGATCGTGGCTCATTTATGTGTGCTGAACTTCTTTCGCACCGTACGTAGCCGACCGTGCTAACCGATGGCGATGGCGATGAAAATGGCCTGCGTCACTCACGCCATCCATGCCACGTCCCGCATGAGGCACACGATCGGCACCAGGAAGAGGCCCATCCAGAACACGCCCGACCTGAAGAGGGCACTCGCCTGTGGACAAAACACAAAGACAAAGACTAAGATACCCCGGATAGCCTGAACAGACCGTTGGAGCAAGTGCTGTTAGCGGCGGGCACCTATGAAGGCAGGCACGGCACACGAGGGGGTGGGTGGCCGACACCATGTCCGACCGCCTTTGTCTCCCCAATGGCGATGTTTACACACCGCACCAGGTACTCAATTTGAGTCTGAATCGACCTATGGGAGGCCCAGGAACGTTTCAGATAATCGTCACCGATGTTGGCCGCGAGAAGGAATCGAACCCGGGTAGCCGGGTTCGTAGCGCAGCGCACCGACCGCCTGTGGGCAAAACGCAGACACATCGATGCACGCGTCCACCACTCCACCGCATTCGCGGTTCACACACCGTGGTTTCATACCCTCTCATCAGATCTAACAAAGCCAAGCAGGCTGGGGCCTGGACAGCGCTTGAAGGGCCGACCACCGTTTCATGAAGGTGTTGCGGTGCTACGTTTGTCAGAGGGTGGGAGCGCGCCACCAGCCTTCACCATCCCTGAGCAGTGTGGTGAAGCAAAATCAAACAATCCCCACGACCTGCATGGCGTGGAGAGGCCTTCAGCTGGGCTTGTCCGTTGCAACTGTTAAAATGAATGTAAAGTTATAGGTTTTTAAGGATGATTTGATATCAGTTTTTGATGATACCCAAATAATATACCCCACCCTGTGGGGCGGTGAGAAAGAAACCAATGTAAAGTGACTTCATATTTAAAAAGAAACCACATTACAGTTAAAATATATAAAGATATATAATCTGTGAAAACTTAATGCGTGAATTGAGTCAAACGTTGCTTGCAGCATGAACCCAGAATCCGCAACCACGTTCACATAATGAACACACCTGCAAAACACTGGAGTCCATTTATTGCAGTGTTGAAACATTCACATGTACGTGTTTGTCTTTTAAACAGTCTCAAGGGAACAAATAGAAAAGACAATCCAACCGCCCTTTCATCACTTCCAAGTATGTGTGCATTGTTTGGCAGAGAACATTTACCGGAGAGTAACCCAGTCGTAAGAAATGCTGGGTGCAAGAAGAAAAAAAAAACAACACTGTCGACAATAAATAGTCAGCGTCGATTGACATATTCAGGGTAAATTCGGGCAGTAACGAAACGCCGAGGGGGCATGTAGGTCGCCTGAACGCGCTCGTGTCTGATAGTGATGAGCTGCGGACAGATGAGCAAACAACCGAGCATTATCGTTGGCGCGCCTTCCCTGCCTTACATGGTCTGCCCCCAAAATCCCACCGTTGCAATTTAAACTCCACATATGAGACCACCAAGAAAGCTTTAGGCATTGTATTTGTAGAGAGTGGGGAGGTGGCAGGAAGGGTTTGGTGGGTGGTTGGTTGGTTGAGATCCAGAGGCTATTGCGTCAGAAGCTGTTAGAGAGAGGGAGAGAAACTGAAATGACTTTTAAACTCTTTCATGGAAAGAATATAGTGTTGATGCTCAAAAAAGTTGTGTTTTTGCATACTTGAATGTGCCCAAGGCAATGGAACACCACTGGCCTTGCTCACATAACTGTGTCCGAGAAAAAATAAAACGACAGCGGTCTAGCAGAGATAAAACTAAAACAACACCGCGAAAAAATATGCAAGGAAAATTAATTCATCCCCAGGCCAATGTCCGTGCAAACACATGCACGCACATTCAGCACAGGACATTCATCTGCTTCGGCTGAAACGCCACGTGCCAAGGGTTGGTTCAAAACTAAACGCCTTGTAGAAGATTTTAAAGTGAGATTTGCATTAAACTACTAACAGGGTGTTATTTTATGACTTTCCATCTTACAGCTGACGTGGCAGCGTCCAGCAAAACTACCCGGAAAACGACTAATCCAGGACCTCGTGCTCCGGCTGACATTTCAAGAACAAAAGCCCAAGGGTGCCGCGGGGGAAAAAAAAAGCATCCCAAATCTAACAGGTGTCCATTTTTTTTGTTCCTTTTAACAGGACAGCATGATGCATATTTTAGGCTGCATTTAGGCTGCCCCCGTGCCAACAGGTGGCCTGGATTAGTCCCGGTGCCAATGCTCTTCGGCCCAAAGATAAACGGTGCGAGTGATGGCCACGGGGTCCTGGTGCGTGCGGGAGGCATTTCAGGGTTTATGCGGAGGTGGCATGGCATGGAGAAGGTCTTGACCCTCACAGCGGGTATTTTCAGTGCAGCCATCGATCACGGTGCATTAATGCCACGATGCACACACACGCACAAATACAAAGACCCCCCCCCCCCCCCCCGTATAGCCTGAACAGACTGTTGGGGCAAGTGCTGTTAGCGAGCAGCACCTATGAATGCCGGCATGGCAGACGAGGGGGTGGGTGGCCAGAACCACGCCCAGCCGCCTTTGTCTCCCCAGTGGCAAAGTTTAAACACAGTCATAAGTGCGCTTTGCGGATTCACGCTGGCTGCTGCGTTGGTAAATCATCAAATGAACAGCAGAACTCGTTGAGCTTAAATATCTTAAAATAGTTTTTTCAAGCCACTCCTAAGATGGCAAAGTGAATTACAAGTAACACACCCGTTATTAATTCCAGGCAGCAAGCTGTAAATTGTATTTAATGTGCTCAGAAAGATACCCAATCAATATGCGGAGTGGGGGGGGGGGGTAATCTATAATATTACGTCAAGCAAACATTTGAATGTACTATAAATAGAATGTGGATTTTACAATCAACTGGACACTCAGCATGGTCTGGATCTCGCATAATCCCAGCCGCACACGATTTGGAAGCCCCTCCATCCACGCAGAGGGTGATAAATAGCATTTAGGATGCGGTTTTTCACACACCGCTTTCGTGTTCGAGGCGGCAGGGAGCCCAAGGGCTCACGACTTTAGGTACCCAGTTTCCCCCAACACCCCACCACTGACACCCGTTAAACGCATACAAAATGTCGAGCACCATCTGCGAGAATTAGAAAATCCTTTGGAACATCACCTCCCAAAAAGGAGAGGAGAAAAAAATGCAACACTTAATTTTTCACACGCGGTTATCTGGCGAATTAAGCCGTCTGGTTATCCATACTCTTGGTATTTTAACACCAAAGCAGTTACATTTTCCGTTCCAACGTTGTAACAGAAAATAAGAACAAAATCCACTGCATTTATGAATCAATGGGGTTGCTCATACTGTACAGATTTATTGTTTTGATTCATTGTTGCAGCTTCTCGATCGCTACCAATCAGCACATGTGCTGCACATGCAGAGAGTCTGTCAGCAATGCCCTTATGCTGTGAGTCAGAGTGAATCTCTGCCAAGATAAACTAAATGTAGGTTACAGTGGCCATTCCGCTCTGCCCATGTGCATTTCTATCCTCAATCGCGGCAGCTTTAGTGGGCAGACGTGCCATGACACACCGGGAAAATGTATCCGTTGAAGGTTAACGAAAAGTGGATTTGACATGGCGGTGGTGCAATGGGAAAAGGGCTTTGAGGGCCCCTCTGCTGTGTAAGGGATTTAGTGAGAAGCCAAAATGGACAGGCAGTTGTTTTTTTACAGACGCTCTCATGGGCTCTTATATCTTCCCCTCCATCTGTCCCACCGTCTCAAACCACGTCAGTCACAGTTCACATGCATGCTACTCAACGGGAGAGGTGACAACAATGACAAAGCCGCTCTTATTTTCGGAAGTATTGACATATTGGCACTGACGCGTGCTTGCGTCTGCCGAAGATTGGTAAATCTAAAATTCTTCCAGCGCCAGAAAGGACAATGTTTTGCTGCGACTCGAACAGCTCTCAGGTGAGGCACGTAACGTCCCGGATGTAACGTTTTATCTACTGCAGGTGCCTCTCGTAATCGCCTCCTCGCCCGTGCGCCTTATCGCACGCTTTATCCACCTTCGCCATCAACAGACGGCAAGGTACGGAGACGAACGACGAAGCACGGGCGTGAAAAACACACGTCCCGTCCCTTCTCCTCACTCCTCGCCTTTCAGCCCCAGCAAATCCCCAACCCCCCCTTCACCCACCCACCCACCACGTCCACAAAAAATGACACCCCCGACGTTCTCATCATTCCAACCCGGAAAGAAAAGAACAAAAAAATATTTAATTAACGTTCGTAAAATCCAGTAAAACTCCTCCGCCACGTCGCGACAGCCTCCCACCCCATCCCCGGCAAGCGTGGCCCAGGCTCCCCCTCTCTCCCTTCTCTCACATCGCAAGCTCCTGTCTAGAGGGAGGCTGGGACCAATGGAATAATTGACATTTTAGGTGTAATTATAGGCCGTTGGCATTATCCCCGAGGCTCCTTTAGGGGCAGATTGTTTGCGGCTAACGAGAAAGGGGGGACTGGCAGCTGCTGCTGGCGTGGGGGGGGAGTTGGGAGTTGGTGGGAGAGGAGGGGCAGCTGGGATGGGATGGGAAGATTTGCGGAATGAACATAAAATCATGGACGAGGCACGCTGCAACACAGAATTGTGTGCGAGTGTTGAAGGAGAACTGCGGTGGTATAACGACCGACAGACGGAATGCTGGAGGTGATCACATGTCCCAAAGATATTGTACAAGAAGGTGGCGGCAGCTTTGGGGGAGGCATTCATCCAACTGTGGATTGATCATGGCGGATGATGTTTCCAATGTTCTTTGTAATAATCTATTTATATATTGATTAATAATAAGGTGGAATTCCCATGCATTGGCAATCACCATCTGTTAGATCCCATGGACTTTGATCTACTTGTTGGCTTCTCTTTTCCCGGATTTAAAACTGCAGACACAACATAAAACCCACATGTTGCAAACCACACACACATCACGAGAAGCCATTCAGTGCAACTCTGAGCTGTTTCTCTTCTGTGGCTGCAGATTTCAACCGCAACACATATGCTACCGGAAATCCTTTACACAGCAATTTAAAACGCCTGAGTTTTGTCAATATTCTGTTTACAATTTTCCTTTTTTCTCTTTTTGTCCATATGCACAGATAGAAGCGTCTTGCCATGAGGCTCGTGTTACACAATAC